ATGGGAAAGTCTGCTGTTAGGGACCTCTCCAAAGTACTGAAGAGCAATGGTGTCTCTCTGGAGACTAAGGTGCATCTGATACAGGCCATGGTTTTTGCTATCACTTGTTATGCATCAGAGAGTTTGACAGTGACTAAGGAGGATAGAAGGAGAATTGATGCCTTTGAGCTTTGGTGTTGGAGAAGAGTATTGAGTGTATCATGGACTGCTAAGAAAACAAACAGATTCATCCTGGAAAGGGTTAAACCGGGCAGCTTCCTGGAGGCAAGGATTCTAAGGCTCTGTCTAACATACTTTGGACATGTTGTAAGGATGGACCAGTCCTTGGAGAGCAACATCATGCTTGGTAGGGTGGAGGGACAGTGCAGGAGGGGAAGGCCCTCTGTGAGGTGGATTGATTGAGGGAGTGGGGTAATTGGGATGGGTGTATCAGAAACAGTGTGATTGGCACAGGATAGAGCAGGGTTTAGGGCTGTTGTACATAGTGTCACTATGAGTCGCAAGCGACTCGACGGCACATAACAACAACAACAACAACAACAACAACATATTCCAAGTAATGAAATAGCTGGGTCATATGAAATTTCTATGTTCAGCTTTATGAGGAAGTGCCAAACTACCTTCCAGAGTGGTTGTACCACTTTACAATCCCACCAACAATGTGTAAGTGTTCCTTTCTCCCCACATCCTCTCCAATGTTTATTATTTGCTGCCCTGTTAAACTTTGCCACTGTTACCGGAGTAAGGTGGTACCTCATTGTGTATAAAGAGACTGCCAAATACAACCCGAAATGCACAATCTAAAGAGGATAAAATAAATGCATGGGATCTTCTAAAGATTAAATCCATGTGTGCATCAAAACTTTTTCCAACAGGGTGAAAAGAAAACTTACAGACTGGGAACAAACATTTGGTAATACCATCTCAGACAAGTTTTACAACAAAAGTTTACAGAGTACTGTTGGGTCTCCACAAGAAAAAGACTGATAACCCAATTAAAAATGGGCAAAAGACATGGAAATAATTTTCACAGAAGAAGATATTTAAATGGCAAACAGACACATCAAGAAATGCTCCAAATCACTGGCAATAGAGAGATGCAAATCAAATCCCACCTAATTTTTGTTTCTCAGAAGGGTTTTGCTTATTTGAGGTCTCTTGCCTCCCAAAATAGATTTGATAATTTCTCTTTCAATCTCCTTGAAAAATGAATTTGATATCTAGATAGGGATTGCATTGAACATATGGATTGCTTTTGGTAGGATTGTCATTTCATAATATTCAATGTTCCTTATCTGTTATGTTCAATTTTTTAGGAAGTGCCAAATGGCCTTCCAGAATGGTTGTACCTTTTACAATCCTACTGACAATGTATAAGAGTTTCTATCTCACCAACATGTAGTTCTTGGTGTCCTGTTAAACTTTGCCGCTGCTGCTGGAGTGAGATGCTATCTCTTTGTGGTTTTGACTTGCATCTCTCTTATTGCCACTGATTTTGAGCATTTCTTTATGTGTCTGTTGGTCATTTGGATGTCTTCCTCTGTGAAAATTCTTTCCATGTCTTTTGTCCATTTTGAATTGGGTTATCAGTCCTTTTCTTTAAAAAGTCCTTAAAGTGCCCTTCATCAGAGTGTCTTTCCCCTGCACCCCAGGTTGGAAATGACACAATGCTCGAGTAAACGTGGGTCTCACCTTATTTTCATTCTTTATCTTTCAGGGATTACTATGTTATTCTTGATGTCTTATAAGTTCATGACCTTGGTTTCGGGATATCTTTGTTTTTCCTTTTATGAATTTAGTTGTTTTTTTTTTTTGTTTAAGTTATTTCAGGAGGAAGATAGATCTGGTGGTTATTACTGCATCTTGATCAGAAGCAAATATCTGTAGCCTATAGACTATGTAGTCTATAGCCACTTATTTTTATTCCACCTAGATTTGAGTTTCAATTAAAGTAAAACTGATCTCATTTGTTGGGCATTAAGAGCACCCTGGTGACTCTTCCTCTAATACAGTCTTGTTTGTTCTTTTAATGCCCATGGGATATTCAATACTATTCTCTAATATCCCAGTTTTAAGACACTGATTTTTAGTCAATCTTTGTTTTTCATTCCCACTGTCCAGCTTTCAGTTAGTAAGAAGCAACTGAAAAGAGCACACCTGGATCAGGTGCACCTTTACTTTAAACTTTACAGGCTTTTAATTTACATACTTGATACTTAGCACTTTGGAGAGATTCTTGACAGAAGATTTTACCAATGCAACATGTCTTGATTTCTTGACTGCTGTTTTCATAGATGTTATTTGTGGATGCAAGTAAAATAAAATCATTGGCAACTTCAAGCTTTTCTCCATATATCATGATGTTGCTTTTGGGTCTGGTGGTAAGCCTTTTTGGGGGTTTTTCTATGTTGAGATGTAATCCATATTTAAGGTTGTAGTCTTTGGTCTTCTACAATAAGTATTTCAAGTCTTCCTTACTTTCTGCAAGCAGGGTTGTGCCATCTGCATAATACAGGTTGTTGAGAAGTCTTCCTCCAATCCTGATGCAACAGTCTTGTTCATATACTCTGTCTTTTCAAATGATTTGCACAGCATACGAATGGAACAAGTATGGGGAAAGGGCACAACTCTGATGTGCACCTTTCTTGATTCTGAATTGCACAGTGCTCCCTTATTCTTTTTGGATACCAGTCTTGGCCTACATATAGTTTTCCAGTAAGCATAATCTAGTATTCTGGGATTTCTGTCTTGATCAATGCTATTCATAAGAAATAATAGTTATTTGAAACTCCCATTGTTACTGAGTCAGAACCAACCAATACCTGACAATTAAGTGGATTTTAGGGCCTATAAAGATTGCTTATTTTTTCCCTGAAGAGCAACCAGAAAATTTGCATTACCTAAGAGGCACATCCTTTCATTAGTTACACAAGTCCTTATGAACTATGCTACAAGAATTTTATGTATTTGTGTGTGTGTGTACCATGAAGTCAGAACAAACTCATAGCTGACCTTCTGGTGAGTTTTCAGAGGCAGTTCATCTACTGAGAAGAGATTGTCCATCCAGCAGAGCAGCTGGTGGATTTGAACCACATGTCTTGGGGATTGAATCACAGCTTCTTATCACTAGGCCACCGTACGTCCTTAGTCTTGGATATAGTGTTGACGTTTTCCCAGATGGTGTCAATTACTCGGGGGTGGGGGGGGTGGAATTATGTGTGTTTCTAAAAGTAACTACAGATATAATCATTCACACTTTATTTTTTTAAATTTTAACATAGAGGACAATGCATATAAGAGTATACAGGAATCACAGGAAACCCAAATATCCAACCACCTGGATGAAGTTGTTGCTGCTGTCAGCTTAACACCCAAAGAGAAGATACAAAATAAACTTCCTCAGTCAGCGCTGTTCCGGCCTCCTCAAGAGAAGCTCCAGCTCTGTGAAGAGAAAGCAAAGTCCTACTCCAGCTGTCACCACGTAAGAAACTTTTCTTTCTGTACCTCATTCTGGTAAGGGCATTGTCCCATAGGATCAACTGCGTGTATCTGAGTTTATATTCCTACATTGTGAGTGTGATGTAAGAGCGTGCATCAGAGAGTGCCTTTCAATATAGCACACCAGCTCCGAGCCAGCAATGGGTAGAGTACACTAAACATTCAGTGTGCACTTTCTCATTTATTGAATGAGTGCACAGACAAACAAACATGTATACTGTGATTTCTCTCAAGTGTATACAACTGGATAGTTGGTAGATTTGACTTACTATGGCCATTTTTAGTCAACAAATACTACTACTGAGCTCTTGTTCCATGCCATGAGTCCTTGGATGGTGTTAATGGTTAAGTGCTGGGCTGCTAATTTGAAAGGATGATGGTTTGAATCCCCCTAAAGGTCTTCTGAGGAATGGCCTGCCATTCTGCCACTGAAACCTTGAGAAGTGTAGTTCTTCACTGCAGCACATGGGATTGTCAGGAGTCCGAACCAACTCAACAACATCTGGGTTGGCTATTGGTTTCACTCTATGTCAGGTCTGGGCACTGGGACACAGTGTACAAAGCAGGAGACCGCCTCCACTCTCTCATGTCGTTCTATATTCTTTACCTTCCAGTTCCTTCCTCATCCTCTCTGCAAAGGTTCTGTTCATTCACTTATCCATTCACCATACTTTTCCCTACCACTTGTTGTGGATCAAGCCCTGTTGTTCATCTAATTGTTACAAAGTTATCTCGTGTATGCCTCCTATGGATATGACAGTTACTGTGCTGGTAATTATCGGGCATAGATAGCCACAGCCTGGCTTTTGAAATAATTGCAGTTTGGTTGAGAGGAGAGAGGATGTCACTTATTTTTAGGTAACTGTGTTTATTGTGATGAGTTTTATGAGATACATAATTCAGGGTGATAAAGAAGCAAAACAGAGGTGTAGAGAGTTTGGAGGTAAAGAAGGGACAGGGATAATAATGCAAAATTCTTAGGAGAGAATTCCTTGGACTCCAGGGATAAGAGTGTCCAGAAGGGGAAGTGGTGTTCTAGACAGGTGTAGGCAGGTGGACCCGTGTATTGGGGGGACCACAAGGAGTTACATGGAGCTGGTTTTAGTAACACAGAAGGGAAATGCAACTAGATTATAAATAAGAACTGGTCACAAAGGATTTTAACACCAGGAGAGAGTTTAACTGTTCTCCTAATGATGTTGGGAGGCAAATGTCATTGTGTGAGAGGACTGTGAGCAGGCATGAGTTTTAGCGAAGACCACCTAGAACCATGGAAGAATGATAGAAGGAAGCAAAACTGGAGGTGGAAGACCCGTTTGGAGGGTATTTGCAATAATCCTGGCAAGAAATTGTGAGAACCTGAAACTGTAGCAGCATGACAAGCTGAGATCTTTAGTAATAAATGTAAAAGTATTAATCAGCAGAACATGGTGATATTGGGACATGAAGTACAAAGGAGTGAGAAGGGGACCGAGAGGACCTTCACAGTCCTGGCTGCCTGGGGGCATGGTGATGCCTCTTATCAGTGGATAAGAGGAAGATATCAGTACAGGAGGAAGAGCAGGACTCTGGAGAAAAGGCTGTGGGAATGCTGCATTTTCAAAAGTTTTTAATATGTGCTTATTCATTGCGCAAGTATTTCATTTAGTACCTATGATGTGACAGGCTTGTGATGGGCAGGGTCTAAACTTTTCTCCGTCAGAGTTCTGATCAGTTAAACCCTAAAACTCTAAGTTACATTTAGTATCTATAAAGATTACCTTCTTATCTCTGCACCTAGAATAGTCTAAAATCATTTGTCGTGTGGTTTGAGTGAGGAGTCCCACGATAGGGCTGAACTGAACAAAAACAGCTCCTCATTTTGCCCATGAATCTGTGTTTGCTCAGAGCTCACTGGGGTTTGATCTGATCTGCTACACAGCGTATTAGCTGGGCAATGGAGTCTCCAGCCAAGATGACATTCACCAGCTTGAGTAATGATTACCAGTTCTTTTCCTGTTGGAACTCCCCATGGTGAGCCTAGGTTTCCTGATGGAACAGGGTAGCAGGCACTCAAGATATAGAAAGTAGAAGTCAGTTTCTACAGACCTGGGCCCCATACATATAGCCCCAGTTGGTGGCATGGCTCTCTGGGGGGAAGAAGTACTGAAGGACCTTGGAGCTGTGTGTTAAAACTGCCTCTCTTACATTCAGAGTGTTGCAGCTGTGAATTGACCCAAAGCTGGGATTTACATTTCTATATTCTTTATACCTGCTAGTATTAAAAATAAAATTTTAAAAAGTAAAATAAAATAAAAAGAGCTTCCTTCTCTTTTTAATGAAATGTTTTTGTCAGTCTTACTCATCCAATTTGCTATACTAATATTATTGGCTGTTAAGGAAAATCTTTTCATTGAGAATGAAACTATTTTTGGAAACCATTACCATTTGCCCCTTTATTGTAACTATTCATTGATGAGCAACTAAACCACCTAGGAGTCAATAGATACATGCTCTGACATTTCTGTTTTCTCCTTTATTCCATTCCATGGAAAGGCACTATTCCGAACCAGAGAGCAAACCCAGTGCCATTAAGTCACCTCTAAGTGCCAGGATAAAATGGCACCACTGGATTGTCAGACCCCTTTTCCAAGGTGCTTTTGGATGCGTTTGAAGTTTCACCCTCTCAGTCAGTTGCTGAGGGCGTAACTATTTTTTATCACCCTGCAGCTCCTCTAAAAATACTCTAGAATTTACTTATTTCTTGCTTATTGTTGGTTTCACCCTCCTAGAATATAACTTCCCTGATATCAGGAATATGGCTCTTAAGTCTCTTTTATTTTCTGATCTCAAATGCTTAAAATCAGATCTAGCATATTGTAGGCACATATATGCTAGGGAAGAGATTAAAGTAATATTTTAGTTTTCCACTCTATAATTCTTAATAAATAGTTATTTTAATCATTCTATGTTTTCTTCTTACCAGTACAGGCAAGCCATACAGGAACTGGTTCGTTGCGTAGCGCTGACAAGAATTTGCTATGGTGACTGTCACTGGAAACTGGCAGAGGCATATATTAATTTGGCTCAAGGCTACCTTCAGATGAAAGGTAAAACTCATCTCAGATCAAGGCTGATGAGATGTTTGTTTTTTGATCTTTACCCCAAATTTGATTTATACTTAACTAAATGCATCAAGTGTTCTTAGATAGTATCTTCTCAAAACACAGAGAAACTGTTCCCTTTCAGAAGTGGTCAGTAGGTGTATAGTCAAAGATATTAATGGAGGAAAAGGGGAATATGCTTCATCCTCTCTGAGGTTTGCTTTTTATGATCTTAAAAAGTATAGTCCTGCCAGAGAACCGTTGATTTTCCTAGTTCGTCTCTTCCAGCCTCGGATCGGTTGTCGGGATGGCCCGTGGAAATCAGAGAGAACTTGCCCGCCAGAAAAACTTGAAGAAAACCCAGGAGATTAGCAAGGGAAAAAGAAAAGAGGACAGTTTGACTGCCTCTCAGAGAAGGCAGAGGGATTCGGAGATCATGCAACAAAAGCAGAAAGCAGCTAATGAGAAGAAGTCTTTGCAGACCAAAGAAAAATGAAGACAAGCTAATTTGGAAAAGCTGGGTGCTATTGCCAACTAGATGTATCATACACCCCAAGATCAAGGTTTTGCAGAGTGAACAAACAGTCATTACATATGTTATCATTTATCCTTATAAAACAGTCTGTTTTAAACTTTACCTTTTGATCTGATTTAGTGTGATGTTTTAGAACTCCTCTTTGAAAAATAAAACACCAACCATGCATGTAAAAAAAAAAAAAAAAAAAGTATAGTCCTTAGAAATACTGTTTAAGACCATTACTGTAGAAATAGAAAGATAAGTAACAAAATGTGTATGAGGATCCAAGGGTAGGGAGTGGAGGGTCGCACAATTTGGTGGGTGGGTAAAAGAAATGGGAAAGATCAGGTGGGGATCTGGAAAGACAGGGGTGGGCATAGGTCAATGGTAATTAATTTTATAAAACAGTGAATGAGAATGATTGTATGAAACACAATGTGAACAAAGGATAGTGCGAAACGCAATGTATATGAACTTTGTAACCAAACCAATATAAAAGAAAAATTTTTTAGAAAAGTAGAGTCCTTAGGAGAGAATGAATCCATTAGAACTGAAGTTGTGGAAAGAAATGGGGCATTCTGAAGGAGCCTAGAATGGGCCGTTCACATTTGCACTGATGGAGTACTTTGACTGTAAGTGACTGAGCAAGTAAAAAGCACAAAAATCTCAGCACCTTGTTGTGGAGCCGATTCTCTGTTGGGTTTCCAAGGCTACATATAGCTTGGAAGGAGATTGTCCATTTTTCACCCAAGGAGCTGCTGGAGAAGTGGCCTTTGGGCTAGCAGCAAAGATTAACGAGGCTGCCAGGAGGGAATGTATAGACTCATACAATTGAAAAGTCCAAGGGTAAAGCTTGCATTAGATTTATCCAGGTCAGCTAGTTTTACCCTTGGACTTTGGGATGAGTACCCAGATTCTCCCTTTTCCAATCTTTTGATGTCTTATCTCCTTTTTGATTGCATTACTTGCATGGCAGCAGGGAAGCTGTCAGCAGCTCTAAGCTCACCTCCTCAGCAGTCCCTAGAGAAGAAGAATGCCCCTTCTAGAAAAATTCCAGCATTTGGAGGTTCTAATTAAGCCAGTTTGGGTCATGTGCCAAGATCTGATGTCCGCATCTCCCATCATGGATCCTGGGGAGACTGGCCTCAGCTGAGTCCTGGTTATGCACCTCAAAGAAAACAGAAAGGAGAGTGGGTCTGAGGAGGTAAAGTCCACAGACATCCAGCGTACTGTGTCTTCCAACTGCAGCTCAGACACTGAATTCAGATTCTTCAACTGGAGAATTCTGATGATGGTGTTGAGACTAACTTCTAGTTTTGTTCCAGTGAATAAATAATAGATACAAAAGGCACACAATGTCAAGAGTAGAAATACCTTTCCAAAATTTTGCCCAATCGGATGATGGAGTCATCTCATCTGTGAAGTCAGAGGGGCCCTGGGAAACCATTTCACAAAGATTCCATCTCTCCTGCTCACAATTTAGAGGAAACAGCAGTCTGGGTTGAAACAACTACCACAGATCACATTGTCAGTAAAGAGACGAGCTATCTTCCAGGACTTGGATTTCACTGGCATCTGAAAGTGATAATTTTTGTCCCTAGCCTGCTACCTTTCTGTGTGTCAATATGTATTTTTATTTTGTTTCATTTTTCTTTTGTTTTGGTTTTTTTAATTCTGATTTATTTACAAAGTTTGGATACATTTTCTCTTTCACAAAAGATCCTTCCAATTTCCTTCACTCCACACACCCATCAAGTTGTACAACCCTATTATTAACACCCTAACCTTGCCCACTCTTACCTACCCCTCTATTTCTGCCCTCCCCACTGCCTTGGATCCTCATTCTCAATCTATATTAATGGTTTTATGCAATATTTGTCCTTATGGGACTGAGTTAGTTCACTCAGCATAATGCTCTCCAGTCCCTCCCAAGTTAGGAAGTAATTAACAAAATGAGTGCTCTTGTGTGCTGCATAGTATTCCATTGTACGAATGCACAACAACTTTTCAATCCACTCATTTGTGATTGGACATCTGGGCTGTTTCAATGTTCTTGTGATGGTGAAAAATGCTTCTATGAACATTAATGTACATGTTTCAAAGCATTTTCCTTGCTAATAGGTATTAGACAAGGATGTCCACTGACACTGCTTCTATTCAATATTGTACTGGAAGTGCTTGCTAGGGCAATACAACAAGAGAAGAAAATAAAGCGCATCCAGATCAGCAAAGACATGGTTAAAATATCACTATGTGTGGATGATATGATAGTGTACACAGAAAAACCCAAAGACTCAACAAAAAAAACCTGTTAGAGCTAGTAAGCCAGTTTAGTAGAATGGCAGGATATAAGATCAATATCCAAAACTCAGAAGGATTCCTCTAAAGTAACAAAGAGAACTCAGAGAAGGAAATCAAGAAAGCAATATCATTTATAATAGCTGACCACAAATTGAGACTTACAAAAGACCTATACAAAAAAAACTGAAGAACATTTCAGCAAGACACAATAAAAGACCTAAAGAAATGGGGAAATGTGCCATGTCCATGTGTAGAAAGACTCAATATTGTGAAAATGACAATCCTACCAAAAGCAATCTACATATTCAATGCAATTCCAATACAGATACCAAATTTATTTTTCAAGGAGTTTGAAAGGGAAATTGTCAAGTTTATTTGGAGAGGCAAGACAACCCAAATAAACAAAACATTTCTGAGAAACAAAAATGAAGTGGGAGATATAGCACTCCTTGACCCCAAAACCTACTACGCAGTGATAGTAACCAAAACAGCATGGTACTGGAACAATGACAGGCACGTGGATCAGTGCAACAGAATTAAGAACCCAGAAATCGATTCATCTGTTTGTGTTATGCAGATGACACAGCCCTGCTTGCTGAAACTGAGGAGGACCTGAAGCATTTGCTGCAGAGGGTCAAGGACTGCAGCCTACAATATGGATTAAAGCTCAATATCAAGAAGATAAAGATTCTCACCACTGGACCAATTGGAAGCATCAGGATGGATGGTGAAGAGATTGAGATTGTTCACAGCTTTAGTTTGTTTGGCTCCACAATCAGTACTCTTGGCACCAGTAGACAGGCAATTAAAAGATGTATTGCGATGAGAAAGTCTGCT